TAAAAAATGGCCATAAAACATGCATCGCACAACCTTAGTAAAGTTGGGTTCATGTGGTGACCCTTGGTGACCTGACCTGTCACCTGACCTTTTATGACCAGTGACCTACTAGACAACTGACGCCCTATCGCTGATTTTCTACAAAGTGGGTTTTACTCGTCGTTATGTATAGCGCTTTCCGTAGAAGACCCGTGAACGGTGAAGCATTTTATCTTTGACCTGACCTGTATGTATGTATGTATGTATGTATGTATTGACACCAAAAGCCTTCCACATATGGCGTGGCGATTACGGCTTTGACGTCATCGGTGACCCTGGGGTCAACGAAATTTGTTTTTTGTCTACAAATTTGACAGGGCTACCGAACGCCGTTTGAATTTTGCAGATCCGTTCAGTAGTTTCGGAGATGCGGGGGGAAATGCCCCCCACCCGCGCGGAAAGTGGCCGGGAGGCCCACCGCCTGCCGCGTAAAGGGGGGGGGGGATTTCCGACCTTTGGTTCCATTCTTTCCATGGAACGCCCATAAGGCTTATATTAAAATGCCGAAATCAAAGGGACAGGTTCCCCGGTGCCCCCCTCCCCCGTTCCGCCCCTTATGCCCTCCCCTTAGTTAATGCATGTTAGCCGAGGCCAGACAAGCCTACATACAGTATACAGGCAAATGAAGCGCAGACATCCAAACACTCAGACGGGTACCTAGCGCACAGAGAAGACACACAAAGACTCACAGAATCACATACACACCGTTACATAAACACCTATAGTCTGACTATAGACACAGACGCACAAAACACACTCAACAACAGACACAGGGACACACAGACCCCCTCCCCCCACACACACACACAGGTCGGCCCGGCTCACCTGATATTCGCCGCCTCCGCCGTGGTCGGCTCCGGTGGACAGAGCTCAGTACCGTCCACACACTGTTTGACCACCCGCTCTGTCCACTGACCCGGCCGGTGGACGCAGTGCAGCTCGTGCCGCTCCGGCTCCTCCGTCGGCCTTTGTCCCTGTCAGGAACTGCGCCGGACATCAACACCGCGAGTCGGTGTGTCGGCAGAATCGATCGTGTTCAGTGAGTCGGCGGCGCGGCGTTCCAGACTGATGACGTCAGTGGGGGTCACCAGGGTTACAGGGACAACACGGACCGCCGGTCGATGTGCAGTCCCCCCCACCCCTTCCCTCCCCTCCCCTTCCCTTCCCCAATCCCCGGGACAACTCATGCAACTCGGCAAAACAAAACATAGTGACGAGCAGACATGTGCAGGGATGGAAGAGGCGGGTCTATGATCTCAGTGGATATCTCGACAAAATGGAGGGTTCGGACCTACATCTCATCCCTCGCCCGGTCAGGGGTTGGGGAGGGGGAGATTGATTAACCCTCGCCCACACATGGGGGGGAGATTGATTAACCCTCGCCCGCACATGGGGGGGTGGTGGTAACCACCTCCCCCCCCCCCAGGTAGTCTTTCTGCTCTGCACTCAACATTGTTAGAGCTAGAAGTCTGATTTTTCGTATAGCTGCTCCTCTATCCTTTCTTGAAGTTTCTGTGGTTTTTGGTTTCGGAGATATGACCTTGTTTTTCAGGTCATGTCAGGTCAATTCTCAACATCTTGCGTTGGCTATGGGCCTTGTGAGCTTTTGACACCTTGCTTTCGGCCTTTTTTTGCCAGTCTTACCTCCCACCTATCATGGAACATGTTGTTCGACGATGTACTGATGTCAAGGTCAGGGTCAAGGTCAGCCTAGGCCATCTAAAATAATTGCGTTTTAGGCAGGCTGAATTTACTTTTCGTGAAGTTTTTTGACTGCATTTTTGGTAAAAGCTTCTCAGATCATGATTTCATGTAATATGGACACATAAACAATCGGTGCACACATCAGTGTACACACAGACACACACAGACATACAAACACATATAATTGACCTTGACCTAGCTTGACCTGAAATGACCTCAGCAGCAAAAATCTGGTCCGGTAGTGTGACAAAGAGGTTCTAGCTGGTTTAGCACCAGAAAACGGCATCGTTATCGGTATATGATTTGTAGCGCACTTGATATGCAACGGTGACCCAACGCACACTGGTCGGAAACGCTCCAGCGAGAGGCCAGCGGCCTTTCCGCAAAAGTTTTTTGCTTGTTATTCCACAACTAGTGAAGCAAACTTCATAAAACTTTGCATACCTTCTCTGTCATATGTAAGCTATCATTTGGATGTCAAGCACTAAATATATGACGTGAATCTGTTAAGTTATGACGTCATAATTGAGTATAATACAGGATCTAGCACCACTTTAAGTCAACAAGGGAAATTGGGAGCTGCTATTCGGGTACCGGGAATGGTTTCATGCACTCCTTGCAAGGTCCAGTGCTTCACTTTAGCATTGTTGACAGCGTGACGTCATTCATGACGTCACTAAGGCCATATAAGTTTTTCGTCAATAAATCCTGATCAGATGGAGCTAGAGAGTCGGGAAAGCCACCATTGGACTCAGGAAGACCTGCCGTATCGAATGATATGCGATATGACCTCCTTCAACCATTTTCGTGACCCGAGGGGCTCCGACCTGACCTTGACCTGAGGTTAACACCTTAAGTTGACTTCACCCGAACACCAAGTATAGCATTCAACGCGCCTGAGCTAGACAAACACGATGATGCCAAAATCGCGGCAGTGCGACCATTTTTGGTAAAGTAATTAACCTAAAACTGAGCCCGTCCCTTGTGGCACTTACCTGACCTAAGAGGCCACTGGCTGACCTAAGACCTTAAAATCGGGTAGTACCTAATTGTTGCGTCTTATAACGGCACACAAGCTCGTTTTTTCCGCGAGGCTCTAGCTCAATTAGAGGCGAAACGGCGAGGAAGTTGTACCAACCCTCCCCGGTCAATATAGAAAACCAATCGGTCCGGCCAGGGTTAAATACCGGAATTGTGATCTAATGTAAAAAGACGGCCCAAGGTAACCCGACGTCAGTGACAGGTGTCCTATATTTGCAGCGTCTTATATTCACGAAGGTTTCAATTTCCACTTTCTTCAGCCGAGTGATGGCTGTCAATAGCAAGGCTCTTTAAATGCAAACCGAAATCGCCACGCAATATGTGGAAGGCTTTTGATGTCCAATGTCCATGCATACATAAATGCATACATAAAACGCGCTTTTCACAAAATTCATAAACTCAAGCGCATCTGTTTTTAATGACCAGTCAACTACGCATGGATGCGTGCAGGCCACACAGGTCAGCGTAAGCCGGGCGCGGCGGCCGAGCCGAAACTGGGGCGGGGCGGGCGGTACTTGGGTAGGAAGAGCGGCTCCTGCAAATTTTGCGCAAATATGCGCAGTTAGCTTTTATGTTGCCCTGGTGTAAATTTAAATCCTGCTTCATCTCACAAAAAATCAGAGTGGAACTAGATGGGACTACCTGTTGTTTCCTTACCTAAACTTTGCAGTTATATTCCAAAATCACTGTAGGAGAGCCTTCATAAAAAGCTACAGTAAATCTTAGTTAAGGAAAAGTATACCAAAAATTTTGCACTGACCAGTCGGCAACTTCATAACGAACATTTTGATGCATAATATGTGGGATTTCAATTTGGTGTCTATCAGCAATAAGACTCTGAATATCCGGCTCAAGAAACCTCTTGCTCCGCGTCAGTTTCCGAGTTCTGGAATACCCCATCTTCGGGGGCTGATTGCAGTTATTTTTGGTCACCCGGATTAGTTTTTTTGGCCTAAGTATAATAATTTGATCAATTTCAAATCGATCTATATAAAAAATAATCCGAAACTCCGGAATCGCCCGTGGCCTCTCGTGAGGGCGTTTCCGACCAGTGTGCAACGGTGACAACGGTGACGAGCGTTAAGGGGGATGGGGGGGGAATGAAAAGCTTTTATACATAAATAAGTAAAAGTCTATTCTTGAATGAAATGGAAACGGTTAAAATGCACAAAATACGGGCGTCACAAATGCGGTTCACTGAATCGTTCTCGTAGGGCCACGTCGGCCGAGTCGTACGTAAGGCCACGTCGGCCACGTCGTGCACCGGGCCGTCGCGCACCGGTGGAGTCCCGTCGAAGACTGTCGGGCCCCCGTCCCGTCTCAGCCCTCGTGGTAGCACAACACGTGGGCCTGAGAACCAGGACAGGGGCCAGATGACACATATGTGCCCGGCGCGGCGGGGCGGACCGACCGCCGCGCTTCAAGCGCCGGCCGTCTTTGCGAAAATACCTAAAAATACCAACGTATTTGCTCGCTAACACCTAGGTTTACCAATGTTTATTATCTCATCCATGCCAATGTTGTACAGGAGGGACATTTTTATTGGTCCACCTATTAACTACCTACCCTTTAAATATCGTGTTTCTAGATGCCATATAAGTCATTCGCCAGGGGGTCATACACCCGCCTCCTGGCCGCTCGCATTAGAAAAAAACGCAAGCTGACACACCTACAGCGTTATGTCGGACTTACAGCGAAGTGATACTGTGTATTGCAGGACCATGACATTTTACACCCAATCATGTCATCTTGCATATCAAAACAATGTATTTCCAAACGAACAAAGAAGTAGCTGTTCAAACTACCTATGCATCAATGGGGATGTACCGGCTGAGGACAGCTGGGGACGTACCGGCTGGGACGTCAGATTTCCCGGGTGTTTCGGAGACCATCTCGTCCACGACATGTCAGATCACATCCCGGCCCCACCCCGTGCCGTGCTGCCACCACACCACCGAACGCCTCTGACCAGCCCTAAGGTGTCGGCGGGTGTGCCTCTTTTCTACGGCCATTTTCCAGCGGCCGGCCGGAGCCAGTCGCAGGCGGCGCTACTGATTGGTCTGTTCGTAACGCGCGGGCCGCAGAAGCGTCTGCTGATTGGTCTGTGCGTAACGCGCGAGCCGCAGAGACGTCTGCTGATGGTCTGTGCGTAACGCGCGAGCCGCAGAGGCGTCGGCTGATTGGTCTGTGCGTGGCACGCGTGCCACCGGCGCCGTCTACTGATTGGCCAGCTGCCTGGGCTGCGCCGTCTTCTGGCCGCCTTGGCCGGGACGCTCCACCTCCTGGTCAGTGGACGTGGCGCCGGCCGAGCGTAGCCGCAGGACCAGTGGCGGCTTCTGGTCCTATCTGTCCGTATAGTTTTGAGACACCAATCCGTGTTTTGGTAGAAAATCACACCTCTTTGTTTGTAAGAATTACTGTTTACTACAGCAATAAAGAGTAATTTTCGCATCATTCATTTTCGCTGATGATAGGTAGTCGGGGAGAAAAGTTCATGGATTTATTCTTTTCTATTTATATTCTCATAGCTATGCTCTTTGCGAGGGCGCTAAGAAGAATACCTAACTAATAAATTGGCGTTCATGAAATGCATACGGCTGTTCAGTATTGACATAGTACCTACTAATAAAAATGTATGCACCATCTAGGTGGAGAATTGTCATAATACTAGGGGGTGCTTTTCCAGCACCTGGCGAGTGGCAGCATCAAATTAACTTGCGCAGTAAAGCACATATAAGGACGCTTTCCAACAACATCACTATTCTCGCGACTAACGCAAATCAGCTTGTGTCTCAGATGAAATGCAATCAACCATTGGAGCATTATTACGTGGTAACTTTTGAATTTCAGGGGCGTGCTCGAGCACCCCCAAAACCCCTAATTTTCCACCCAGTGATATGCACAGATATGCCATTTATTCATGACTCTTCTAAGGAAAGGCGTATCTTTAGAGGCTGCATTTTATTGTTCTTGGGACCCATCCATATAACAACAAATCGAGTATTATATAAGCATAGACGTGCTTCAAATTGCAGTATAATACCATAACTGCGATGTATTTCGTTATGCCACAGGCGATACAGTGGGGATGTCAACTACGATCAGACGTAGCCCGTGAGTCCATCTCCCGCTCGCTAAGCCTGTTGTATGTGAGTGAGTGGTCAGTACGGGGAGGCCGATGGCACGCCGCCGCCGGCCCGGCCTGACCAGTGGAGCGTCTGGCTATCGTCCAGCCGTGCACGGTGTGTTCCGTTTCCGGCGGGCTGAGTCCCTCGGCCGGGCCGGGCCGGCCGTGGCGCGTCTCGCTGTGGCCGTCTGTCCGATCGGCCGCGTCCCCCTCACCGACCCCTCCGGCCGAGACGGGTCCGTCTGGCGAGACGTTCCGAGCGGTGTGTCCATGTGGAGTGAATGCACTGCTAGCCACTGCAGCTATTTGGTGTCCGGCTGCCGGAATAGAGTGTCGGAGTGGCGGCAGAGGAGTGACGGCAGCTGTTTGTGGTGGATTCTGACGGAGCTGACCACCGGCACAATAAGACTGCAGCGGCACCAGCCACGGGGAGGGGGCTGCAGCTGGGAGTGTCACCGGACCGCTCTCCGTGCCGGCAGCTGACACTGACCGGGGGCCGGTCTGACACTGTCAGGGGCTGCAGTGTCAGTGTGTCAGTTCAGCTGACAGTCGGAGCACCAGCAGCTGGACACAGCTGACACTGTATATATATATATATATATATAGACCACTGTCACTCGGACACTGACACGGACTGGGACGGCACGACGGTGTGACGTCACACTGGTCTCCAACACGGCCTCCAACAGCTGCACCCGGCTGTGGGCACGGACACACCGGCTGCAGCCAGTAACGCTCGCCGCTGTGCTGGAGCCGCCCGCTGGCCACAGCAGCGACGGGGGCCGACAATCGTCCCGCACGGCAACGGAAAGGCCACACGACGGCAACGGCGGTGACTGCTGTGGTGGGATTTTCCGATAAATACGGGAATGGTTGTGAGCTCGGCATTATTTTGTGTGTATTTGACGAGAGGTGACCGGTTTGATTTAGTGAGTGCGTTGGTTGACAGGCGAGGGTATGGTTGTGTAGTAAACTCCTTACGTCCACATTGCCGTTGTATTGCCAGCTGCCTCCGTCGCGCGCCGGCCCAGACTGGCCGGGGGTCGTACGTGACCCACCTTTTATTCAACAGGCTACGAAACGTCTAGAACACGCCCAAAGCGAGTGCGAACTTGCACAGCAGCGACGAGGTGACGGAAGGCGCCAGCTTGGCGGCCTACGTGCCTTAAATGACATATCTTAAATTTACAATTGCGCTGCGCGTGCCGCCGGCCGTCTCCTCCCGGGCCCGCCCCGCACAATGCCATATAACTCATCCCGAGCCTGGACGGGGCGGCGGCGGCGCCGCAGTGGCACGGCGGCCACAAGATTCTAATACACTCCCCCCTGATCTACAAATCATCGTACTGGGTCAGAACGGCAGGGCGTCTCTCCCGCATGCCGCGGCGTAGAACTTCAGCGTACGTCACAGGGGGCACATTTTCCCCGTGGCTTTCGTGCGCACACTCTCGCAAGATAATTGGGCCAGAGTCGTCATTGTCATTGTTCGGCGGCTCAGTCTGGCCACTCTCCGGACTGGGAACGAAAGCCAGTCTCAGATCTCTCACGTGACGGGGGACATTGTCTACTTCCACACACTGCGCCGACACTTGTCGGGTGACTGTTCCTATGGAACTTGGCACATCACACCGGCGACTAGGGTCTCTGATCCATACGTTATCGCCTACATTGAACATAGCACACTCACTCTCTTCGCACTTTTCCTCACTCTCCACGTCCGGCACTCTCAGTTTGTAGTTGAACAGTACGTTGGCAGGACTGGAGTTCAGGTCATCACTGCGCGGCATCACATTATAGCGGTAGACTGCTTCCGCCACTGAGCAGCCTTTGCGCGCTACGATTGTTTTGACCGACCTATGGTTTCTCTCAGAGACACCATTGCCGAACGGCGCATGGGCAGCTCGGTACCGGACGCTGATACCCCACCGGCTGACGAACTCGTGGAATACGGCACTGCGGAATGAGGTGAAGTTGTTCGTCAGCAGCTCCCTCGGAGCGCCGCGCTCCAGGAATACCGACTCCAGAGCGGTGATGATGCTGTCGGTGTCCTGTCGCTTTATCCGCCGCCAGATCGCGTACCGAGACGGACCGCAGTCAATCAGAGTCAGGTACAGCTGATCGCTTACGTGACAGACGTCCATGCTGATCCTGTCCCAGCATTTAGTCACGCTCAGCGAACCATGTGTCCACCGCTGGGGCGCTGGATCGATGGACTGGCACCTTTCGCACTGGCTAACGACACTGCGCACCTGGTGCCTGCTCACAGCCGGGTCGTGCTCCCTACACAGGCGCAGCGTTCTCCCGATGCCTGGGTGTCCGCTTGTTTCATGGATCCTGACCACATCCGGCGCCGAGAAGGCAGCGCCGCAGACCTCCGGATCGCTTTGTTGGTTGAGCCACTTCTTCGGCACTCTCGTCAGTGCGTCAGCCCTGTTGTCCACTGACGGAACGCACTTCACGGTCAGCTGGAGGCCGTACTCATCTCTCAGACTCTTCACGGTCTCCAGGCGCCTTCTAATCAGCATTTCACTCGCCGCCTTCGTCTTTATCCGAGCTCTGCCGGAGAGCGCATCTGTTAGCCAGTGATAGACCGTTTTCGAGTCCGTCACGACAGTCACTTTCTTCAGGTTCCATGCCAGGGACAGATTGATGCCACGCACAACGGAGTCCAGTTCTGCAAGGTTCACGTGTGTCTCGGGATTTTTCCGAAGCCAGCAGGCGTCCTCAACGATGGTGCCTTCCATCTCCAGCACGGCTCCTATGGCGAGGGAGCTGGCATCCACCCACACGACTCCCTCATCGCCGGTGACATCCCAGCGACCTCGTGCGGGATCGGCCGTTTTCACGCGCTGCAGCGTTTCCATGACCATTTTCTTGAGTTCTGGGTCGGTGATCTCGTCATCCCAGCCGTCTGTCGCTGCAGTGGCGCGTCTTTTCAGGTAGGATGCGGAGACACGCAGCCAGCCACACACCGGGACCTGACTTGTCAGACGTCCGCACAGCGAGAAGACCTCTCTCCTCGTCAGCTTTGGCGGCGGCTGTAGATCCTGGTTGTCCCGCTTCCAGAACAGTCCTTGCCGCTCCCCCCAGACTCGAATGCCCAGGACACGAGCACCTTCTGACACCTTCTCCGGGGATTTGCAGGTCAGACCGAGCGCCTCTAGATGACCCTTCACCTCCAATGCAGTAGCGATGTTTTCATTTACGAGTATATCGTCCACGTAAGGTGATGTAGCGGTGTGCACCCTCGGGTCACGTTTCAGGGCCATTTCCAGCACCTTTCTCATCACCATCGGTGCGAGACTGAGCCCAAAGCCAAGTCTGCTCAGACACCACCGTCTGCCCTGGAACACTACAGTCTGATACGGCCACAGCGATGCGTGCACGTGGATCTGCAGGCAAGCGTCTCGCAGATCTAGGAGAGACACGTTTCGTCCACACCGACGCCACTCACGGATTTTTTCACTGCAAACATCCGCGTCAGCTGTATGCGGGTCCAGGTGCGTATTTAACTCCCTGAAATCCATGACGGGACGCACTTTGTCCTTCTTCGGTTGGATGACCGCCATGAGCGGGATCGTGCCTTTGACCCTTCCGTGCACGCTCTCATCATAAGGGACGAGCCATTGATTCGCCACCCACTTGGAGAGTTCTCGCTCGTATTCGTGTCGGGCTTCTGTTGGAATCGCGTACTCCTCTGCTGTATTGTGCAGCTGCTCGGGCTCCTTTCCTCCACACCATTTCCACTCCACCAACCACTTCTTTTCTGTCTCGTCAAAGCTCACCACAAAGTCCTTCTCGTCGGCTCGATTAGCCGGTGCGGCGGCCGCCGCCGCACCCAACACCGGATCCCCCCTACTGCTGTCAGCTCGATTCACTGCTGCAGCTGCCGCCGCTGCACCTGACGCTGGGGCCGCCTCACTGCTCGCCTGATCATGACTCACCCGTGCAGTCGCTGCCACTGCACGCGACACCCCAGTCCTCTCACCATCACAGCTGACCCGGTCACCGGGTGAGGCCACTGACGCCGCTATATGAGACACCGCTGCCTCAACTCCGAATCTGACTCGGTCATCCGAACTCACTGTTGCGCCACCCAGTGCTCTGATACCATTCATCCCAAGGATGAACTCAAACCCCAGTGGCTTACGTGCTACGACGAGCACATCTACGGACACTGATTCACCGGACCGCAGCTGCACGCGTGCCACGCCTGACCCCTCACACCAATAACGCCCTCCACTCACTGTCATCACGCTCACCGGGCGTCGGTTCCACCTCCGACAAACTGACACGTGAGCTACACACTGGCTGCATCCTGTATCAACCAGCGCTTCGCAGCTCGCTCCGTCCACCGACAGCTGCGCGACTGGCAGCGCCCCGTTTACTGGTCGACAGGAGAGGAGGCTGGCGCTGATCTCTCCCCTCCCGCGTCGTTTTCCGGACACGCAGAGGCGATGTGCCCCTGCCGGTTGCAGTTGTAGCACCTCACGAGGCTCCGTCCACCACTGGGGCCTCCACGGCCCCGCTGTCCGCGGCCTGCCGTGCAGTCGCGGGCGATATGGTTCGGTTGCCCGCACGAGTAGCATTTCATTGTGGCCGGGAGTGCTCCAGTCCTTGTGCCAGCGGCGGCGGCCGCGGTGTTTGTTTCCTCGTCGGCCAGCACGGCCCGAGCGCGACCGATTAGCTGGCTAAACGGCATGTCCTCCATCCGTGATCCAGCCCGGAGCGCACGGCGTGCTGAATCTGGCAGTTTGGCCACGAAGGCACAGGCCAGGCTGTCGTCCGGCATACCTCCGAACAAGCCAGCCAGCCGGCGCAGCTCAGAGACGAACACGTCCACCGTCTCACCTGGACGCAGCCTTCTACGTTCAAATTGGTCGTAGGCTTCAAACCGATCCGAAGCAAACGCCGATGTCAGGGCCCTTTTGATGTCCTCGTACTTCTTCTTCTCATCTTCTCCGAGCTGTTGATATACCGCGAACGCACCACCAGTGAGTCTCAGCGGGACGACGACGTGCAGTCCCTTGATGCCGCGCAGCTGACACACAAGTTCGACCTTGTCCAGCCACTCGCACACGGGCTGCGACACACCGTCAAACTCCGGGATTAAGCGGAGATCAGCCGCAGCGTCCGAACCATCACAGGTCTCCTTCTCGTTCCCCATCACGGCAGTCTTCCAAGGCCGAAATAGCTTGTAGTTAACTCCTTACGTCCACATTGCCGTTGTATTGCCAGCTGCCTCCGTCGCGCGCCGGCCCAGACTGGCCGGGGGTCGTACGTGACCCACCTTTTATTCAACAGGCTACGAAACGTCTAGAACACGCCCAAAGCGAGTGCGAACTTGCACAGCAGCGACGAGGTGACGGAAGGCGCCAGCTTGGCGGCCTACGTGCCTTAAATGACATATCTTAAATTTACAATTGCGCTGCGCGTGCCGCCGGCCGTCTCCTCCCGGGCCCGCCCCGCACAATGCCATATAACTCATCCCGAGCCTGGACGGGGCGGCGGCGGCGCCGCAGTGGCACGGCGGCCACAAGATTCTAATACAGGTTGATTTTGTGAGTGCGTTGATGGACAGGCGAGGGTGATTAGTTGGTTTTGTGAGTGCGTTGATGGACAGGCGAGGGTGATTAGTTGATTTTGTGATTGCGTTGATGGACAGGTGAAGGTGATTAGTTGATTTTGACAGTTCGTTGATGGACAGGCGAGGGTGATAAGTTGATTTTGTGAGTGCGTTGATGGACAGGCGGGGGCACGTGGTTGACAGCGAGACAAGCCCGCTGCTGGATGTGCTGTGACAGTGTGTCGGTGCTTGTTGTCGGTGTCTGGTGGTGCAGCTGGCGGCGGCCCGCTGCCATACGGGAGCGGTCGGTCGGCAGGCCGCTCGGCGGCTCGTCCAGCCGGTAGTTGGTGTCAGATCTCTGAGGCCGGTGTGTCAGAGCCGGTGAGCCCGGTCAGGGCACGGCCGGAGCACGGCCACGGCCCCGGCGGCGGCACGGCGTGCTTGTCAGTGGGCCGGCCGTGACCTGGCGGTGACCGGTCGGTCTGTCTGCCGACCGGCCAAACTGTACTCAGGTCACCAGGACATTAGCACAAATGATGAGGTAAGCTCCGAAGGTAACGGTTTTCCAGGACAAAGACTGAACATGTGTAAAATGTATTAGTCAAAGCGCAGCCGATTATCAGTAGCGTGGCCAAAGTGATAACTAAAATCTAAAAAGCCGTTGCGGGGTCGGAGTCAAGGCAGCTTGATCGACACGGACTCCCACTCCGACTCCCAATCGGTCGGTAGTCCCAATTACCCCCCTGTACGAAGCAGAGGACACAAAACATGGCGGCGCACACCCGGGCCGTGACGGCGTGCTTCCGTGAACCGAGTCGGACAGACGCGAGGACACTCGTTATGACCGGTGCCGTCAGAGCTCTACACAATTCAGTAGCATCCAGCTGACTATATCCGACCGTTGAATAGCCGGCTATATCATACCCAGGGTTACATTATACACAATACCCGACCGGTAATTACCCACTACATCGCATCACTTCATCCAATTACCCACAATACCAGCACCGGTAACTAATTGCCCCAGGCTACAGATGGTACAGCTGAAGCGTCTCCTCTCGTGTATTTAATAGACATCTGACTGACCAATCTGACTGACAAATCAGCTGACTGACCAATCAGCTGACGGACCAATCAGCTGAAGGACCAATGGTCAGCTGACTGACCAATGGTCAGCTGACGGACCAATCAGCTGACGGACCAATGGTCAGCTGACTGACCAATGGTCAGCTGACTGACCAATCAGCTGACTGACCAGTGGTCAGCTGACTGACCAATGGTCAGCTGACGGACCGGTCCCCGCCCCGGGCCGGGTGACGGCCGCCGGCCGGGACCGGAGCGGGCGGGCGCGGCGCGGCCGGCCGCCGTCTGAACTGGCACCGCGTGTATACTGCCAGCTCGGACGGCAGCTAGCCAGTAGTCGAGTAGAGCTGTCCGTGTGGGACGTGTCACAACACGCTCAGCACGGCGCTCAGCACCGCCGAGCCGAGGTGCAGCCAGACCCGGGGGGAGCGGTCACGTGACCGAGCCGTCCGACTCCACCGGGGGACGGTCACGTGACCGAGGCCGGCCGTGCCGCCGGGACCAGGCGCGGTGAACCGAGTCGGACGATCAGAGACGTGTGTTCAACATACAGAATAGCGTAATGCCACGATCGGTAGTCTCTCCAGCACATCACTTTTCACTGTCCAATTACCCAAAATACCCACCCGCTAATTACCCACTACATCACATCCCTCCAGCCAATTACTGACAATACCTACCCGCCTGGTAATTACCAACTAGATCACATATCCCGTCCAATTGCCCACCATACCCGCCCGGTAATTACCCACTACATCACATATCCGTGTGCTACTACTACATCTACACTACTACTACTACAACTACATGGCTACACTAGAGCGGACACGGGGGCCGTGTGCCGGCTGACCGGCGCCGCTCTCAGTGCCGGCTGGTGCAGCACACACGGCAGCAGTCAGCTGACGGCCCCGGCCGACTGGCTCGGCCTCTCTGCAGTCAGCTCATCACTGCACGGTCGGTAGTGCAGCGCATCAATACTACCACGGCCACAGTATGACCCCATCGCCTTCCCGTCTCCCCAGCTGACGGTACAGCTCCTCTGTGGACAGAGCAGAGACACGTCTGAGGTGGACACGTCACACACAGACAGACACACAGACAGCGGTACAGCCATGACCACACACCGCCGGCCAGTGACGTCACACACAGGACAGACGGCTGACGTGACGTCACCGTCGGCCGTGGTGGCCGTGACGCGTCACGTCACCGTCCGTGACGTGGCCTGCGGCGGTGGTCGAGTGTGTGTGTCTGAGAGGCCGGTGGCGCCGTGCAGCGTCTGTTGTGAGGGACTGACTGGTCAGAGGCGCGGCGCGCGGCGCCCTCTCACCTACTGGGGACAAGGAGACAGATGGTACGGGGCTCGCCGTCACTGTCCCGGCCCAGGTCCGCCTCCTTCAGGGCGGTCAGCACGGCCCGGCCGGTGTCTGCCGTGCAGTGAAGGAACAGATGGTACAGCTCCCGACACGACTTCACCAGTCTGTAACAGATCAGAGCAGCAGAGCCGTCACACACAAACACAGCGGCACCAGCCGGCCGGACGTACGAGTCAGTGTTAATGTCAGCATTTCAGTGTCGGTGTGTTGGTGTCAGTGACAATGCGTCAGTGTCAGTGTGTCAGTGTCAATGTGTCAGTGTCAATATGTCAGTGTCAGTGTGATAGTATCAATGTGTCAACGTCAGTATCAGTGTGTCAGTGTCAGTGTTAGTGTGCCAGTGTCAGTGTCAGTGTCATTGTGTCAGTGTCAGTATGTCAGTGTCGGTGTGATGGTGTCAGTGTGTCAGTGCCAATATGTCAGTGTCAGTGAATCAGTGTCAGTGAGTTGGAGTTGGTATGTTGGTGTCAGTGTCAGTGTGTCAGTGTCAGTGTGTCAGTGTCAGTGTGTCAGTGTCAGTGTGTCAGTGTCAGTGTGTCAGTGTCAGTGTGTCAGTGTCAGTGTGTCAGTGTCAGTGTGTCAGTGTCAATGTGTCAGTGTCAGTGTGTCATTGTCAGTGTGTCACTGTGTCAGTGCCACTGTGTCATAGTGTCAGTGTCACTGTGTCAGTGTCAGTGTCTGACAGGACACCCCTCGCCAGTGTCTGCTGACTGACCTGGTGACCGCTGCTGCTGTGAAGGCCGTCTCTGCCGGCCGCTGGCGGTCCCCCAGTGTAAGTCTGTCCAGCCCGGGCCAGCCGCTGAGACTGTCCAGCACGGAGTCAGGGACGCCGCCGGACAGGGTGAGACTCTCCAGCTTAGGGCACCTGGTGAGGGGCTCCAGGCTCACGGAGTCAGGGACGCCGCCGGACAGGGTGAGACCCCGCAGCTCAGGGCACCTGGTGAGGGGCTCCAGACTGCCGGCCGTGAGATCACGACAGTCTGGAAAATACACAGACACACATACAGACAAGATCAGTCGGCAGAAATATATGTAAATTATGTAAATATATGAAAAAAACGAAACAGCTATGAATTCGCATGGTTTTATGGACACAGACGATGATATAACAATGGTAATATATGATATGCAATCAGTTCAACCAATGCATTGAGCTGCATTGAACATTGCATTACAATCATTATGTGTACGTTCAACTTAGTCTAAACGAATATGTCACCGATTCCCTTCCCTCACTGATTCACACCATGTTGGAGCTCAATTAGCTTCATTATTTCACAAATCACATTGGCTATGCATCCAGAGGCGGATCCAGCTCAGAGTTTGGGGGGGGGGGGGGGGCAAACCATAACAATTTATCGATTCTTTCCATGCATCGTCCTTAGGCGTAATGTTAAAAGTATGCCGTTGGGGGGGGGGGCAAATGGCCATTTTGCCCCCCCCCCTGGATCCGCCACTGTATGCATCACACCTGTCTCCATGAGGTTCGACAACGGCACACCGTTACTCGGTGTCCGCCATTCCCTGAGCTCGTATATCAGCAGCCTGTCCGTGCTGCCGCTGCTCACCGTATATATACAGTACTGTGACCGTCCGTCCCAGGTCAGCCAGGTGACTGATGGTGTCGGCAGCCACCCCCTGGAGCGACACTGACAGACCCCAGTACCATTCCGGCCACCTCGGCTCCGTCACCTCCGGCCCTGTCGGACAGAGCTGTGTCAGCTGACTGCAGTCGGACAGAGCTGCCGCCAGCTCCCCGGTGCACCACTGACACCAGAGTGTCAGACACTGACACAGCCAGCACTAGCACAGCAGAGCGGCTGCACAGCGATATTTTTACCAACAGCATACATACATAAATATTCAAATATGTGCAACATAAGTATTACGATTTTTGCAAGGCACATTGGCTTAGGCACTGGGCAGCCAGTCATGGTATAGTAACGGATCAGGTTGGTAGCCTACATAAATATATGGTTCGCAGTGGTTGCAATGAAACCATTTCAAATTACAATAATTGCTACAATAATATTTCATACATGCACTTGATGCTCACACTATATGCAAATGCATGCATTGCAATTTGCATCACTCTAACAATACCATATAACACAAACAAGGCTGTAAGATGTTGGCTGAATTTGATCGGTTCGTCCATTTGCCGTCTCCCTGTCCATCTGTATATCTATATGCATTGTCCATTATACCGGCATTACATGTATGATCCGTGGAATCTTACCTCTGACATTGAGGCGCTCGAGGCCCTCCGGCAGCTGCTCCCTCAGTCGCGGGAGGTCGGCGGCGGAGACTGACAGCCGCTTCACAGTCTTCCGTGAGCTCCGCAGCTCCGTCAGCTCGCTGTCACCGACTCCGGCCGGAAGGATGATAGTGTTTGGGCCCACCCTGATGATGGCACCACGAAGCTGACTTGGGATAGCAGTCATTTGTGCTGGAAAGGTGATTGAGCCAATGTCAGGCATTTGCAGGGGCGTCGCCACGGGTCCCCAACTTGTACGGACATATTCTGTCAGCCGTAATACTCGTCAGATGCGTTAACCCACGCGGACCCAGGGAAGGTGTTTTTCGTCCTCCCCCCCCCCCCCACATACCGTACACCTCGGACGAATAGTTGCGATAGCCCCCGAATGCCTAGTGGTTTTGGGGGAAAAATAGAAACACATTTTACATGCATTGTTTGCTTTTTCATATTTCGTCTCTTTTTGTCCTTATCCTACCTAACCATTGTCAGCCCTGGGTACTCAGCGGACGTCACTAGCCATGCTATCTGTCTGCTGGGTCCCCAGGGGTAACCTTTTTACTAATACCTGTGGTGGCGGGCTGTCCATAGCTAAAAAAAGAGCGGGGAGTGATGTGACCTAATGTGCTTGAATTCCCCTCGTTGAATGAAGTTCTATGGTATTTAACGTAGCCAGGTCACATGGGCATGGAAGGGCACTCCTGCATACCTGTTCCACTATGTTTCACATGGTGGACAATTCAATAGGTATGGGACAAAAAAAAAATTGATACCAACCTACATTAGGTCAAAGGGTTAGCGACATTAGGTCAAAGGTTAGGTTAGCGACCCCGAGCTGCGGCTTTTTTTGCAGATTTCTTCACCAAAAAAGGTCCTAGACCTAAAGCAGTGGTACCAACGCATTGGTCATGTCAAGATACGTCGAATGACATATAGGTTGTTTGAAAAGGTCAAGTTTTATGTTGACCTCATATGACCTCGAATGGCCTTTGGTTGACGTTTACACATGATCAGTCTCATTTGCTGTATTTGAAGTCACTGGCTACGATTTTGTCATTCCTTTTGATCTAAGCATTCATTTAGAGCCTCAGGATGACAAAAGTGACATAATTAGGGTAATATGACTGACGTATCAGTAAAATAGCCTATAGAAGGATACGGGGTGTAACAAAATTATCCGGTCACCTTTCTTCCCGCTGTGATTAAGAAACAAGACAGCCCGAGGTTTTCCTTTTGATGAAGATATCGCCAGCTTTCATAAGATTTAGAAATGCCTGTAACATTCCAGCTACTGGGTTTTCAAGAAGTGGGTTTGATGTGGAAAGACGCCGTATAAGCATGTATGTGCTCACATACAGTTGGGCGGTCCTGGTGCCAGGTGTCCCCTTATTCACTTCCCGCTGGACAAAAATCCTTAAGATCTCTATGAAATCAGGATGACAACTATTTCCAAGTCGGCGCCCGTTAGTCCAGAAGGATAAGAGCTTCTCCTGATGTCACTTCTGATTCTCCTACGGACTTAAATGTAGCGCTCCAGCCTGCACGAAGGCAGCGTGGCTTGAATCAAAATCAATGCGTTTTTAGAAATCGAGCCCTCCCGTGCCGTCCGGTTGAGCGGCTCCAATTATTTGTTTGCCAGGATGCTGCTTCGGTAATACTCGTCACAGAAGGTGGTCTGTGACACAATGCACAGCTGGAGCATCGCACATAAGCTGAACATGTCCGAGATCTGGATCTTGGCCGGATGTTTGACGCCGGTGACGGCCGGCACGTTTGAGTAATGAGTTACTGGCCAAGGCCATCTATAGAAGGTAGTCACTCCCCCGCCGACCAATCAGAGACAGATCCTGAGTGACGTCACCCCTGATGCTCGCAAGGGGTACTCCATTCCTTTACAACGTAAAAATGACTAACTTCATTTGATGATTGTTGGTGACACTCTACACATATCGCTCAATTGTTGATGTCATTGGAAAGTTCAGCTAATTTTCTAGCGATAAAAAAGAGCAGCAATATGCTAAGAAATGGCCGGTTTTGAAGATATAGACGATTTAAAAATCCTCTACAGTTGCAGGAAAGCAACGCAAAAACGCATCGAGCTTATATTTTTACTATGAATAAATCATTTTTCAGTAAGTTTCTAGATATGGTATCGATTTATTCAACAATTTTATTACAATATTTTTATTACTTGGAACTTTATTTCAAAATAATATTTTCAAAAATGGCAACTGTTGGCAAGTAGCTTTGAAGCGATTGTGGCGCACCGCACCATTATTGTCCTGAGGCCCCCTTATGATGTCATCAAAAGTGGAGTGACATGGGCCTGTTACTGGCAGCCAACACAAGCCGCTTTGACGGTTCAAAGGACAACACAGCGCGAATAGCTGCCCACTCCACCAAACGCTCATGTCTTCCCTCGACCAGTGCAGTGGATGTGTCTTGGCGTGAGGCCAAAGGTGGTGCACTAGCTATTTTCCCGTCCATTGCGTTGTCTTTTTCAGTTTGATAGGCAGAAGAACCAAGTTAACCCATTTACGCCCTTCGTTGCGTTTTCGCAACGCAAGCAAGCGTCGACGTGATCGAAGCTTGAGAAGTGTGTAAAAGAGACTAACCGATGAGACAAGTTTCAGCGTGTGTAGCATGGTTGTGCGCATGATACTACGCAGTTACAAGTCTGTGCGGCCGGTAAGTTACTGCCTAGAGCTCCCAGAGGGAAGTCGAAGGTTTTGTGAGTGATGACGTCACGAAAACCAAGATAAGTAGGCTAAGTGCTTAATAATATCGTAATGAAAATTGTGTAAACATATTCTGCAGAGTCCCTACAATAGCGTAGATATGCATTTTGTTAAGAAATAATGCTACAAAATGGGTATGTGACTATTTTCAAATATGACTACGGTCGCGTTGCGGGAACGCAACGAAGGGCACATCGGAAAGACAGCGGTGTTGCGAAAACGCAACGATGGGCACATTGGCAGGGTAGCGGAAGTATGAATATCAACAGTAGACTTCACTCGTGATACGCTGTGGGTTCTCTCTTTCTCTCCCCCATCTTCCTCCCTCTCCTCCTCGTTCCCCAACTCTCTCCCCTCTCTCTCTCTCTCTCTCTCTCTCTCTCTCTCTCTCTCTCTCTCTCTCTCTCTCTCTCATTTTGTAGCCATGAGGCTGTAGCGGCGGAACATCTTCAATTAAGGGGGGGGGAGGAGCACTGCTGACTTTTGGTCTCATTCTTTCCATTTCCATTTCCATGCAACGCCTATCGGGATAATGTTAAAATGGCAAAATCAAGGGGGCACGGTGCCCCGGTCCCCCCTCCCCCCGCTCCGCCGCCTATGCCATGAGGGACGTATATAGGATGTTTAGTGCAAGGTGCGTTCGCACGTAAAATGTTGCGAAACATTTCATATTTGCTGGCTCAAACAGCCACAAACACTCCTTTCTTTTTCTCTCGCAGATTTTCGGCCTCGGGCTGTTCGTTCACTAAGCAATGTGTTCCCATGCATCTGAAAATCGCATGGTAGGAAAAGGACCCACGCATCAAACGGTCGGCGATGCTAACGGAGCTGAGAGATAATTAGGTCCTTTGGAAATTGGATCTACTATGTACATTGTGCATACATAATGAATAACGGGGATGTATTCTGGTATCAGGCGACAGATAGGCATCGCCATTCTCTGGATAGAATCTGCTGACTACCAGCATTTACGTTAGAAAAGATAACTGAGGGTCGGCAAATAGTGGGATAGGCCCCCTCTGAGGGTAGCTGAACCCTTCGGCAGGGGTAATGAGGGCGGACCCATGGGAAAATAATAATTTTTAGGATTCATAACTCGCATAGATTCATAAGCTGCTTGATGTGGAGTATACGCCTGTTTTCTTACTTTGATAGGCTTTTTATCTAATCAGACCATTTTTAGAGCTAGCAGGATTATTGGAATTAGGGGAGACATTTGTCTGACCGGACACGGTCAATCGTAGACTGGAGACTGAGCCCAGCCAGTGGGCAGCCGCCACCCATGACCCACCCCCTTCCCCCCCCTCCCAAGCACTCACTGCACCCGGCTACAGGCGCGCTCCTATGTGAGCTGCCCGATTGCGATATACGTTACCGGTCCAACCCGGAACAGGGGGATGAGGCGTGGAGGAGGATTCAACTATCCTGAAGATGGAAAGGACGGATTGACATCGAATCACCATTCTGTCCTGGCATTGTCTCGAGAAAGAGGTTACACGTGAAGGTCGCTGAGAGTGGGGCCATGAAAATTTTGGATTAGGTGTAAACATGATAAACTGGGAGTCGATTTGTTGTGATGCGCTACGCCTTACGCAGGTAATTTGTTAGAGCCGCATCGGTCCTTTTTTTCTTTTTGCTGAGAGTGGGTACGACTAACCTGCAATGGAATTTAACTTTACTCCTAGGAGGGTGGTTAAACATGATTGCGGATATACGCGCATACGAGAGGCACTGGTTTACTCCCAATCCTCCGTTTAATTGTATTAAGTGTGCACTGTGCAGGGTCTGATAGGTGGAGGCAATGGATCTGTCTAGCTTCCAAAAAGAAAGCATCACCCTGGATACGTGTCGCTGTCGACCACAACTTTAAATGAACAGCAATGGACAACGTAAATGGTTGATAATGACCGTGTTGCCATCTCCCCGTTCGCGAATCATGAAGTTATGCTTCCTCACCAGCGTTACCGCTGGCGTCTCGCTGGTTTCCCCAGATTCTCACAAAAAGTTCCCTATTTTGAAAATCATTTCCCTAGATGCGGTTATTTTCCTGGAATTTGACGTACTTTCCTTATTTTAACCATTCGTGTTATAGTCGATGCGTCGTAAACAGCAATTAACTACATTCGTTACGTTAACGTAAGAGAGTCTAATGAAATTGCTGGCATATAGCAAATTACTGTATGTGGTAATGGTATAATATAAGTGCGTGGTATATCGTAAATTGTGGTGTGTTGCGGGACGCGGGAACCTATACCGTATAGGTATAGTGCTGGCGATAAGAGACGAGCCGATGCATTATTTCGCATGCCGTCAGTTTGACCGTAAAGAAGTGAAATGCGCTAGAAATTGTAAAAATCGCGCCAAAACAAAACGTTGATGTAAAAATTAGCCGCACCCGATATGGACAATACAAAGCATGGAAGCAGTTTGTTTTGAAATAATAGCAATTAGCAG